TCCTGAACTAGTATACGGGCTTGGGGAACTCCTTGTAGCTCCTCGGCTCCCTGTTGAGCTGCCCCTGGCTCCTTAGCTCGCTCCCTCCTGAGCTAGCAGCTAGTGAAGGCCCTGGTCTGTCCCATTCACCTCCTGGGACACCGCCCGGAAACGCCCATCCAGGTGGTCCTGGAGGCGCTCTTGGCGAAGCACGGAGACCTCCAGGCCCAAGACTCCACGGGCGCCACGCCGTCCGGGACACAGGAGCGAGGGGGAGGGCTGGGGAGGGGTCGGGCGCCCGCCTGGTTCGGCTCGGCGTGGAATTGGGTGGGACAGAAGAGTGGATCACGCATGGTCCACCAGATTTGGGAACAAGTCGGGACAGCAAGGTAGACAGTTCGGTGATTTGGGTCCCAACGGAGGTAGGGGGCGCCATGCAAAGCGCAGGATGGCGCAGGACGGAGCGTCCACTTGTGTAGTTTCATGGTTGCTTCCCGTCGGGATGCAGGTGTGCAGGTTCTGAGAGCAGCATTTAGTGGAGAATCTTAGGGTGGAGAAGAACCGAGCCTTAAAACAATGATCCAGTGATCCCCAAGTTGGGGACGAACCAAAACCAGAGGTAATTTGACAAATCAGATGTCTAGATTGCTAGATTGTCCCACTTGCGCCCAAACCTGTCATGCGCTTGCTTCAAACAAGTGTTCATCCGGGGTGCTGTTGCAACTGTACATGTGTGGTTTGCATAAAATCTCAGTTCTTGGAATGTTTGATGATCCTATCCATTCCTATCCACATTGCTACTTTTGCCAGATGTCAACGGGGAGGCGAGGGGGTATGATATATAGGCTCCTCTTGTGCATGGATCAGAAGCAGTTGATGAAGCGGTCCAACCGTCTTTATGGCAGGTGTTCTTTTATAGACCTTGAAAGTCCACCTTCGAACACATGGCCGAACACGTCGCAGCATGCAGGCATTTGGTCCTTTCTACTTCTTCCCCTCTTAAAGAATACAGGGGTACCCAGCCAATCCACCTGACCCTAAGCTTTTGTTCCATTCGACATGGTTCAAACCACAAAAATTGAATTTGAACAAATGACGGTTGAGCTGGTGTTGGAGTCTAAAATTCAAGCCATAGATCGTTCGCTCACCATTAAAAAACGGTAGTCCAGGAATCAATCCTTCGGGTCAATGCTTTTGACGTAACGGTTGCTGGGTCAAAACATGTCAAGACCCTTAAACATAACACCCATGGATGTTTAGAAAAGGAAGAACACCCTTAAACACCCATGGATTTTCAGAAAAGGACTCCCACAGCTAAGCTTTTCCCTTTGGCCCAACTTCTCGCCATGTCCGCCATTGCAACCTTCGTCCGACCGTGGAGTGGCGCGATCTCATCGCAGCCGTGTCCACCTTCGGCAACAAAGGACGGAGGTCTTCTGGGGAGGTTGGGCCACGAGCCAAAAAAACATCTGGAGAGGGTCGGGCTCGCCAGGTTTCGGAAATGGACATGAAGAGGGTAAGGTAGACTTATTTGATTATTCAACCACCCCCCATAGATGAATGGGGATGTCCAATTCAAGTGGTGAGGGTTATTACTAATCAAGAGTCTACAAGGGTTAGCCAGGAAGGAAGTTAGTGGATCAGCTGCAGGCAAAACCGAACGGACTGGGACATTTGGGGACAAGCCAGAACAGGTGGAAAAAGGCGTTGCCAGAACAGGATGATCAGGGATGAAGTTTTGTTCACTGTTGGCCACATAGAGTAATGGTTTGGACGCGCTTTGTTTCGATGATCCCTGCATGTGTCATGAGTCAGGCACTCATCGATGCGTAGGTTCATCTCGACCATGTGCATGAACTTCAGATCGCATTCACGGTGTCCGACTGGTGGAACCAGCTTGTCCACGAGAGGCTAAGTGACCTTATAGGACCCTACTGGGTTACCTATAGGATGGTCTATAGGGTTCTTCAACCTCTGCTTGGTTGGTCGGCAACTCAATGATGTCAATGCGTGTCTTAATACATCTCTTAAGGCCTGGCCAGTTGCACTGGACCTTTCGTAATGCATTGCAACCACCCACTGGCCCTTGCTCCCCCTCACACTCAATGTTTGAGTTGATGCCCATGGCAATGTCGGTCTGGGGGTTATAGGAGCCACGCTCCGATTCAGATGCCACGCTCCCATGACTCGACCGCAGGACGTCGCCCCGGCGCCCGTCCCACGGGCGTCCGCTGCGGCCGCGGCCGTCGTCGCGGCGCTGGGCGCCGGCGCGACGACCGCGCGGTCGGCGCGGCGGTGTGCCGCGCGGGTGAAGCGGAGGGCGCACGTGAGGCGGGGCAGGTGGGACCGGCTTAAGGAGTGACAGGGACGCGTCGGACGGTCCGAGTCGTTTGGCGACGTAGTAGCTTGGCGGCCCGGCTTTGTCAAAACGATCACTCCAAGGGACGCCAGAAATACCAGTGATTGTCCGAGCTGTTGAGGGTGATTGTAGACTTTTGATGACCCAGGTCCTGCCGCTGCTCACTGAACTTTTGCTTTGGAAAAAAGGTGTGTCCCATTGTGCCCTGAGTCTCGAAGGTTAGTAAATTTTAATTTAGTCGAATTACTGAAAATGAAAAATGCATAATGTTTGGTGTGTTTTTCAATAAGACACATCAAATCTGAAAGAAAAAAAAACTATATAATTCTTTGTCACAACCACGGACAGCCAAAAACCTGTGGCCATTTCTCCGGCTATTGTTTATGATACCCTTTTGCACCCTCCATCTAGCCAGATGCCAACAGAGTTCCCTCCAATGGGGCTTCCAGCCAACACCTAAAGGCCGGAAGCCAAAACCAGAACAAACCGCCACTTTGCCTAATTCTGACGAACAGATCTAGATCAAGGGCCGCTTGAACAGCCGCGAAGCGCAGGGCAATCACCGCTTAGGGGCCAACGCCCCGTTCGTTGCTGGATTGTAAAATGTTCATGTTGATGGCTTCTTTTTGTGACCCGTCTATATGTAGCCTTAGTTGATCAGTATGCCTTGGGCTTGTCCTATTCGGTAAACAAGTAAAATGTGATCATTATAGAGATGTCGGCCTGCAACCAGACCCCATCATCATCCGGGCGCAGGAAAATCGACGTGGATAGACCCAAAGTATGCCCCATACTCTTTCTCAGTCGAACACATCAGCCACCGCCATTGGCCAGTCGCCGTGAGCTGCTCTCAGCCGCTCCAGTCGCCGCGCCACTGCTCGGGCTGTCCACGACGGCGGACGCACAAACTGCGGCGCGGCTGCAGGTGCACCGGATGGACGGCTTTCAGGAGGTCAAAGAGATGTTGTCAAGACAACAGGGAGAATGTAACAGAGCAAACTATGACATACAAGAACTATCAAGAATCCAGTTTTGAGCAACAGTTAGTGTAAATTGAACGTGTCAACGCCCTCATAACGGATATAATAGCACTGTTACAGAAGAACAGGCTTTGTATTTCAGGTGAACACCGTGCAAGTCTCAAGGTATTAGGATGACCTGAGAGATGTCATAGCAAAGTGGTTACCACCCTACACAATAGCTGATCACGACTACAGGAAACAGGAAACCCTGTTTTTTGTTGTTGCAGGTTTAAAGTATATTGACGTGTGGGAAGCGATTGTGGTCCGCATAGGATGGTGGAGCCAGAGGTATCCATAGTTCCCGCTGCAAGGGGAAGGGAGCAGGATAAAAAGTAGTCCTATGCCCCCCCAGGGCATCCAGTTATCACTATAGCTGGTAACCGTGGTTCCAGTTCGACTAAAACCATAGACCGAACGAATCCCTGGTTGCTTATAGAGTGGTTTGCCTCGGATGCACTGGGCCCTCTACAATACAAGAAGATTATAGAGAAGGTTCGTTCTCCGGTTTGGTGAGACACGTTCCCTGCGGATCTGCGGATCCACCACCTTCTCAGGTTCGGTACGTTCCTGTCGTGGACTCCTGGCACCTATCATCTTCATAAAGAGGGTGACACTGGATCCATAGGTCTAGTAAATCAAAGTAGACCTGGTTTTCTAGTGTCAAACGCCTAGTACAACAACTGGTTCTTCGGTAGGGTTGGTTGTTCAAAACCCGTGCAGGTTACCCCACAGTGCAGGTTTTTTCGTCGCAACGCGCGCAATGACTCGAGCGGACATTATGTTACATTGACCCAGTCATTGCCTACCCCCCGCAATGTAGGCAAAGATGGCATACAGGCCAAAGACCATGTCGTCACTTTTTTTGAGGTATTGCTGCCCTGCCTTGGGGGGGAATGCTCTGCGGAAAGTCATCTTTTTTGCCCAAACACAAGCTAACTAAAGGCACCTACTTTCGGGTAATTATCAACACGCAACCATCCAACATGAGCAAGGCTTTGGGTAGTGATCATCCTACCATGCCTTTGGAATTGCCAAAAGCCTGTGACTGCGGGCTCTGGGTTGCCGCACGTGGTCAGAAAATGCTTTGAGGGTATTGGTTTTGATTGTTCCTCGGGCGGCTTGCTATTCTCTGTGTGGAACATCTCCAAGAGTCAGGAGAGTCAGGACAGCCATGTTTGACACAGCCATGTGTGAACTCGACGCGTTTGACCCCAAAACCACTTGAACAGGGGCGGTTTGTGTCCACCCTGGAGCTCCAAATCCGACACCCGAAATGGACACGAGCCGCTGGTGATTCGCCAGGAACGGCGAATTCCTCGGTCGTTCTGCCACACCTGTGGCACGGTGGCGATGTGTTCCGAAAAGCGAACCAAAGGCAGCTTGCTTGTGCATGATCCAACCTTTCACCATCCCTGTTTTTTCGGAATCTTGGATCTGGATGTTGTTTCAGGTCCTCGGTCTTTTTTGGTGGGATGCGGCGGAAAAAATTGAGGGATTGGGGGCCCACACTTTCTTGAGCCCAAACGAGGATGCAGGTATGTCCGGTTGGACAGTGAATCCAAACTATACGACCCCGAAAAAAATAGGGCTCCAACCATATCCTCCTCAGGAGGTGGGCCAGGAGCCCTAGGGGACTTTCGATGATCAACCCCCCAAAAACCAAGTTCCACGATCAGCACGATCCTCGGCGTTCCGCGCGGAAAGCCCCGCGTCGCGAACAGACATCCACGCAGGTGCCCAGCTTTGGTGTCGGCGCGTGGGCTTGGGGCGATCGCCTTTTCTGGGGCTACGAGTCTTGGGATGCAGGGAAGGGGGGGAAGGGGGGCATGGGAGGTTGGGGGTGAGGATGTCATTAACAGGTTCTGTTTGGTTCGATTTGGTTCGACTGACGGGTGCGACGATTTCGTGGGGACTGAGCGGATTTGGGTAAGCCATGGGAGGACTGCCGTGGACTGCTGTCGGTCCCTTCTCACCACGGTGCTCTGGAGTTGCGAACTGGATGCATAGGGTGATATCGACCGTTTCCCGAACTGGATGAATCCCCTTGCCAGGGCGCCACTGGTTGCGCCAGCCGCCAGCTTTTCCCATGTTCCCAAAACGCTGGATGGATACTGGATGGAACAAGGTATGTAAGGAGGCGGCTGGGCCCGGCAGACTGCCGGAGGAAGGATGCGTCAAAACACCGTGTTTTCGGTGATGGGCCTGGGTCAAAACGACCTTCCAAGCGGTTTCAAAGCAAGGTATCCTGGTGCCATGACCAACAGACATGTGAGTGATGTTCTGTTCCCAGATGCTTTTTAAGTGGGTGGAATGAGTGGAATTTGATTGGAAGATTGATCCAAGGATCCTAGATTCTTCATTGCACAGCATGTTTCAACATCATGCACCAGACCATGTTGGTCTTTGGGGGCGCGCCCCCCCAAAATCGCAAGGACTCGACTCTCACAGACCTTCGCCGAGGATGAAAAGCAAGACTTGGAGATCCGTGCAGGACAGAGGGTTTTCCCGAGGGTTTCGTGGTGACTTCGGGAGCCAAGTCTTGGGGTGCGCCCAGGCGAGCACAAACCCGAGTTCAATGAGTGGATGACCTTCCTGCGAAAACCCCCAACTGTTCTTTTTGGGTGGAAAAAGGGGGACACCCTAAAGATAGAACAGGTGGAACATGTTGGTGAACCTTCACTTCCCAGGGAGACTGAGAAAAGCATTTTCGCAGTGGTAGACCTTCCCCGAAGTTTAGTTGACCTTCCCTCCAGTGGAAATTGGAACGTCCCCTGTTTGGTGTTCGGAAACAGTAAACCGTTTTCCTTCTCAGGAAAGCTTGTTTTCTTGCCAAAGGACCCTTTCTGTGTGGAATCCCCTGAAGCGTGCAATCTAACTTGACTCCAGGTCATTGAGAAAGCAACCTAAAACCATCTAAAACCTAACCATGGACCTCTCATTCCCTTGCCTACCAAGACTTTTCTTTCTCTGAAGCCAAGGGCGATTCGCCTGCGACTTTTTGCAGGGTCTAATAACGAATTACGTGCAGCTTCGAGCGCCTCTCGACAGAAGGCCTACCAAGACCCACACACGATCACACATGTGAGCCCTTCTGCACACAATAAAGCTGTTTTCCAATGGGCTGTTTGAAAACCACCACCAACCGAAGTTGCATGCAGGGCTTGTCACCCCCTGCCCAATTCGTCGGCGCCCAGTCGCCCCGCCCAATTCATTCGCTCGTGCAAGTCGCCCTCGCCAGGCTTCGATGCTTGCATCAAGGGCGGCGTGAAGCTCTTCGACACGGCGGAAATCTATGGCCCTGGCCGCAGCGAGGCACAAGAAACTCTTCGACCCACGCGCGCGGGCACGCGACAAAGAGCGGACGGTTTGTCCCGGAGTCTCCGGAAGTTGATGGGTTGGTGGGTTTCAGTGGATGGGTCCCAGTGTTTTTGTTGTGATTGAGGACAACATCTAGAGGAAGCCATAGAGTTGCGCAGGAAAGCCATAGAGTTTGGATGCTTTCTGGAAAGCCATGGTGTCCGATGTTCCCTTGAAGCAATCCGTTGAGCTGACTAGTGGGACAGCTATATTCCAAGGCTCTTCTTCACCATCACTGCCGGGTCAGCTGTTGGTGTTGTGGGTCAGCTGAGTTGAAGAAGCCACTTCGACTTCTTCGGTGGGGCTCATGGCACCTGGTGCTCTGGTATACCTTGACCTGGAAGAGAAACAGGGTCATCCTACTACTTTGAGACCCAAACCTGGTCAACCCACACTCATCATATCACTCAATAGCCCTTTCTGGAGGGTTTGCCGGAGCACAACGTGCAACGTGTGCCAGAATGTGGATCGCTGGAGGGGCAACGTCTTGGTGAAATGCTAAGGAAAAGAAAGAGGGACCCCCAAACGTCAACTGTAGAGGACGATCCTCAAACGCTGGGGTGCTGACCAGAATGGAGGTTGCCAAGGAACCAGATGTGTTTGAGACATTGAGCATACAATTGCGTACTCACTGGCATGGTCAAAACTCAAAACCTCAAGATACGAAAAGTCTGGGGTTCTCATAAGTCTGGCCTCCCTACCCGCAATTCGTGTGGCGAAGCAAACTAGCATTAGATGCTAAACAGCCAGAACACCTGTCTTTGAATGTGTTGCTTTCCATCAAGAGAGAAGAGGTGGTGAGTTTGGCGGAAAGTGCCTAAGTGCCCAAGTTCTATGAGAGCTTTCGTGAGGAGCTGCTGGGGCAGTTCTTGCGCGAGAGCGGCGCGAAGGATGTGCAGGTCGGGGGAGATTGAGCGGGCCTTGAGCGGGCCTGGAACAGGTTACGTTTGATTCCCAAAGACTGCATGTGTATGGTGTATATGCCTACATTGACCCCTTTTCAACCACGGTGTCATACGCCAGTCCCATCAGGAGTATTTGGGTTGGAGTGAACAGCCTTTAGGCACCTTGACATGGTTTTCTTGTCCGTTCCAATTCGTTTCACCATGCTCATCCCCCGTACTTGGGCTCCAAGTAGCTGGTGAGGTAAGACTGGGGTGGGTTGCCAGGAGAGTCAGTCCAGGGTGGTTCGTGCATCTAACCAATCGCTTTTGGTCTATGGTTTGAAACTACGCCCACCGGTCACCTTGCTCGGTACCCACCGGTTACGGACCACAGGATCCGGTACCACGGGATCCGGTGGAGGGAGGCGCTCGGTCTTGCGCAGCTGATTCGACCTTGTTGTTCGCGCTAGCTGAGTCGACCGGGTTTTTCTTGGTCTTTCGGCTGGCGAAAAGTTAGTCTCAGATTGGGCGAGGCCTCCGTGGCCATGAGAACCATACCTTCGAAGGCCTTGTAGTATTGGTTCTTATCAGTGTGACAAGTGATATGTCTCCGGTTGCTTGTCGCATCAAGTCCTTGTTGGGGAAGTGTCTTGCTGAGCTTGCTTGGGGGCCTTCGCGTGTTGCGCTGGTTTAGCACTAAGCCAGTGGCAGCACACCCTATGGGGTAACAAACAGCTGAGGACGGCTCTAGATGTGTGCATATGTGTGCAAGTAGAATGTCTTTATAGACGCATCCAGACGTTTAGCCAATAAAGTTCTTGTCCAATACCATTCATGAAAGATCTCTCAAAAGGTCAAGTGGCGTTTCCTCCCCAAACCTTGAAAGGCAGCTATGAATTCCTAAAGCTTCAATCTGAATCAATCTGACATTTAAAGGAAAGCAGACTTTCTGAGCAGGACAGGATCCTTCACCAAGTGTTCGCGGGGTGCATATGATAGAGAGGTGTGTAGAATCTCTGTGGCAGGAAAGCCAAGGAAGACTGGTCTATGTCTAGTTCCTTTCTTCCGGGAACGCCGGCGGTCGGTATCCCTATTCTTAAAAACGCGCACCTATCGCAAGTTCTCACTGGCGGTCGGTGTTTTCTTTCACAGTAACGGTCTTGTTTCAGCCACTGGACGGGTCCACAGTTAAGTGGGGGCGTCTATCGATTGGGGCAGCGTGTGCAGCCCGGTGGTCCGAAAAAGTATCTAAAAATATATTGTCCCTCTAGCAATCATGGAAGTGGAGGAAGGGGGACTTTGGTTTTTTTGGTTCGTGAAAAGACCATACCCAGAGGGATGGTACACTTCAAGAGGGAGTCAGGCTAGGGCGAAGACTCTTCTATAGGTAGTACCTAGACCTAGAACATATCCTACAGAATCCCATTGAGCAAGTTCACCCCGAATTCTTGATCAGAATCGGTGTTTGTTCCTATTAGTTGTGGATAGATTCCAAGCCACAAAAGCCCCAACTTCCACCTCCACCTCCATCTACCGAACTCCTGTGGCCCGCCCGAAGTCTTTGTCTTTTCCGACACTTCCAAGCGCAGTTCACCCCGGTTCCAAGCCACATCCACCTTGTAAACACACACGTACCTCCCCCCCCACCAAGGTCAACGGCCATGTCCTCCAACGAACACATCCCCTAACGAATGCCGCCCGCCGTGTGCCTCCGCCTCTCCTGCTCCTGCGACGACCGAGCCGGTCCGCACCGCGCGGAACCGGCACGGCAGGTCGCCACGAAGTTCGCGGCCTTCCCGTGGAAGCTGGACCGCTCAGAGGTGCCGCACACCGCACCGCAGTGCCGGAGTCGAACCGGTTCGCGGTCGCTGAGGTGTGGGGACGAAGCGCGTCGGAGCCTGTGCTGGTTTTGGTTTTGTTGGAGTGGGTGCCGTCATGTTCCATTGTTGCAAGGTACTTGAAGTCGGGTCCAGGTATATACCGTACCTTGATACATATGTACTGTATCATTGAACGACTCAATGTAGCTACTATTATTCCAGTCCCATGGACGGTTTGAGCTGTTGGGCCTCTTTGTTTGTCAAGTAGTCCGTGTGTTCGATGCACGCGTCCTTCGATGCACTCGCGCTACTCAACGTGCTGAACCCGAAGTGGTTCAGACGCAAGTCTTGGGATGAGAAGCAAATGAGCATCACGCCATTTTCTTTACCTCGAGTTTCCATTGGATTGTAAAGGACAGGGATTGCCATGCACTTGCCTTGCATAGACAGGAGATGACAGAAGCTAAGATCCCCTCATTCCCACTGCGGTATTTGTTTCACTTTCCAGTCTTTCATCACTGAAGACAGGGGACCACCGCAGCGTGTGTCTTGTAGTGATCCCTGGATAGAGCTTTTCAAGTCAAACCAATCAATCCGGGGACCACCACAGGTCCCAAACACTCCATGGGACTGCCAGGACGGACTGCTCAAACCAGACAAACCAGACCCCCCTGGGCACCCGAATCGGCAGTGCCATGGAGTGTTTGGGCGTTGGATCTCTTGGGGTCACCCCCGCCGTAGCCGTAGCTGGCCGTGTGGGTGGGATTCACACCCCGCCCCAGCTACACCGCCCATAGCCGGCCAGCGGGCGTGACCGGCGGCTTTGGCCAGGTGGTCAAGGCGTGCAAAGGTTCCCTGGAGCGCTTGGGCCGCTTGGAGAGAACACGCCCAGTACTACTGACTACGTGCGACTCAGGAATAACGGAATGGATCCTGAGGTATGTACACGACCGGTTCATTCCCTCATTCCCTACGGACTCGTCGTCGCACGAGTTCCGTCTGTGAACGACCCGGGCGGGCTGGGTGGAAAAGCCTTCACGGCGTTGCGCTGGCTGGGTGCCATCCGACTGGAGGTCGGCGCCAGTCGCACGACTGGAGAGCGCCGTTTGAGTGGGATCTGGGAAAAAGCATCCCGTAGACTGTGGCGTAAGGAGATGGTGCTCGTTTTCAAGGGGGTGGGGTTCACTTTGATGACGCTACTATATACGCTGTTTTGGAGCGTGGGTTAGACGTTGTGGAGTTCTATTTTTTGCGGGGGGGGGCCTGGAAAGGTTTGTGGCGCCTGTTCTTTGAAGTGGGATGGGTGTGTGTGTGTGTGTGTGGATCGCCCGTGTTCACTACTGCAAGTGCTTTGGAACGTCCGTTAGCCGATCGGTCAAACACCCGAGACCAGCTGGACGGAAGCGGCTTGCGAGACCAGTTGGACGGTTTTGAGAGAAAACCATAGCGGGGCTGACGAAACCCAGAAATCCCATATTGGAAGGAGGGATCAACTAATAAACTGACTATCCCTCACAGATGTTAAAGAGTCCCTCTTTTACCTTTTTGGGCTGTCCATCCCCCCAATAAAAAACATAGAAAAAACATATTTGCTCTCCTCTCAGCCCAAACACTCCATGGGACCCCGACTTCAACCGCCCCCGACTGTTCGGTCAATATGTCCCAGACAGGTGGCGTTTGGGAAGGAAACCCAATCCGGCCTGCTTTCACAACTAAGGCATCCCTGGAAGTCAAAGACATGTTAAAAATGGTTGATCTGGTCTTGTAGTGCAAACCCCCTTAGCAAAACAACATGGTTGTTTGGATTTTGAGGCTATTAAAAGATTTTAAAATCAAAGATGGATCGACCTCTAGGCCTAGGGACATGCTTCACTTCGTTTTCCCGACACCAAAGCGAGCTCACCATGCAGGGATGGATTCCATCGACATCTACCAGATCCACTTTCCTTCGGCGCTTTGGCCCCGTACTCGCACGGATCGGCGGAACGGCCACAGGATCGGTGGACCGGGCGGAGGCTGCAGGTGTGGTTTCCACTTCACCCTCCAAGGTCTTCACAGAAATTATAGAAAAACAGGTGAAAAAACCGTGGATCAGCATTTGCTCATCCAACTCTGCTTGGGAATGGGTTTGACCAGTTTGACCCCTCCGCCCAAACCATATACGAAGGCAGACCGGAACTCGCTTAAGCGAGTGTATGTGACCGGAATGACTGGCTTAGGAGTCAGGTCATAGATATGATGTGTCCTCAAATGGAAACACAAGGACATTGGAAGGCCTATCAATCAGGATGACAGATGGTGGTCATAGACCCTTCAAACCCACCTCAAACACCTCCTCAGAAGGTAGTTGGAGCCCTAGGGAAACAGTTCACAATCAACTGCAACCGTGTTTGCGCAAGTTACAAGGAAATCACCATCATGTCTAAGGCATTTGGCATAACCAGACCACTAGAAAAATCAGAGGTCACAGCCACATCTCGTTGCTTCCAGGGTGCAACATCACCGGTACAATCAAGAATTGCTACAGTCCATGGAATTCGCATTCGGCCAACCTGGACGGAATGGCCCCAACAGGATGATCGAAGGCCGGACGCACGGATTGGACTCCAGGGAGGAAGTTTGGAAGACCAAAGACCATATTCCTCTTGGCTGCGCGACGTGCGGTCCCAGTCCGTCACAGCCAAGGTGGCTCATATTCCTCTATAAACCACTGAGTGATGTTCCACTTCTATGATAACTCGCCCGGAGGAACATCGTCTTGGACAACTCGACTGGTCGCCCCAGCTGTCCGACTCTACCCCCATCGCCCTGTTTCAGACCCGTCACCCTCGGGGCCCACGCTGACTGAGGTGTGGAAGAATGAGGCGGGCTGGCTTGGGGGGTTGGCAGGGTGGGACACGTCAGCAGGGCCCACATACCCCTGCACCTCTGCGGGTTAGTAGCTGTTTGGTCCGCCAACTGATCCAAATGGCTGACTGGACTTGAACAGAGATAGCCGTCCTAGGCTTACAAATGAACAGACATGCTATGTTTGTCCAATTAAGTGTTCAAAGTATCAGAGATAGCTTAAAGCTAACATCAAAAACAAAGAGATAGCTTTCTGGACGTCCAAGTGCAGGAACCTGAAACTTGAAATTCACGGATATGATTCCAAGCTTGAAATGAACGGAGATAGGCTCCCAATGTTGAAAGGCATTAGAACTTAGGCTTAGAGATGAAAAAGCAACAGAACGAACTATACTACTGACTAGTAACTTAGGACTTGTCGGACATACACGCCAATTCCAAAAGCCTATGTCATCAGGATTGATCCAACATTGGCATTTCCTCTTAAGGCCTATGTCATCAGGCCACAACCATGATATTCATAGAAATATGTATGAGGTATTCAAGGAAGCAACACATAGTCGCACCCTATGTCACCACTGTGTCACCAGGGTGCCAGGCAGTGGTATCTAGCATTATTTAGCTGTTTTACATTTTTTGTCGAGGAGGTGTCCACAGGTCCTATGACACCAGGTTTCCCAACCCAGACATTTTTTTTGCTCGATATGTCAGGGCACATGACTTAGCCCTGGGGGTAGCCAGATTGGTATGTCACTTGCATCACGTTGGCCTAAGTCATTAGACAGTAGTATATAGTTTTTCCAAGCTCAAGACTAAACAGAAACAAAACCAACAGACATGGGTGTTCCGCTTGGTAAACGGGCGCTGAAACAGATTGTTGCTCAAAGAGTGTAGAGGCCGAACGCACTGAAAAAATGCACTAAGAACTGACAGCTTCTTGTTTCAATTCTATTTTAGTTATTGTTTCTAATAGCGTCCTTGTTACTAGTAGTAAGGCCAGGAGCCCCTAGTAGCGTCCTTGCTCCTAGTAGTAAGGCCAGGAGCCCCTAGTAGCGAACATTATTCCAACTCTGCATACAATTCTGCTTTTGGGGGGCTTGTTTTATGGATGAGAAGGGGGATTTTCTTGCACAGTTTTAAGTTGTCCAGATGCTGCATATGTTGAACTAGTTGAAGATAAAATGGTTGAACGGAAGTTGAATGGGCAAGGGTGGCTCAGGCCGTGGACGGAAAATCAGATGGGTGGGTCGCTCGCTCCATCGGTTGGCTGGATACCACCGATCTTAAGACTCCGTGCAAGGCGGCCCTCAACCTCATTGACGGAGGCCATGTACCTTACCCAGACTCTCCATGGGACTGCCATATATGCCGATCAGTTGGGGTGGTGCCAGGGGGGTCAATGTAGCCATATATGGAGCGTTTGGGTTAATATCAAGTCGGGATGTCGTCTCGTTCCGCTCGTTCGCGCATTCCGGCGACGAAAGACGCAGGTCTTTTGGGATGGTCTGGGCGATTGCTACGAGCAGGGCTTGGTGAAGGCTGTGGGCGTCTCGAACTATGGCGGCTCGGTCCAGCTTGGTCAGGCTGGGGCCGCGGAAGGCGGGAAGAGCAAGAAGAATACAATTTCGCTCCAAACAGCTGGACTGGTCCCTCAAAATCCTAGGGATTTGAGGGTCCGGACCCCTCCATATGAGGGTCCGGCCCCTAATTACTTAGGAGGCTCCATGAGCCTTTCTCTGCGATTCCTTCCACCTAACTATTGAAAGCACGCCGCTCTCCCCGTCGTTTTCGAAGACTCCGGGCGTCGTTTTGGTTAAATCGCCCTTCCATCGCGGGTCGATGGACCAGCTGGGCGTCGAGCTTCAAAACCAAAAAGTCGCCAGATAGAACGCTTGACAGACCAAAACCTCTAGTGAACTTGAATCAAAAAATGGAAAAACCTCGAACATCGCAGGCCTTTTTCCCTTTACAAGACCCATTCTCATGCACAAAATTAGTGATTCTTCGATATTCTTCACTTGCAAGCTCTCCATCAGGCTCACAACGAAAGATTTCGAAAGGTGATGTCGCTGTGCCGTGCCGTTTGGCGAGGCCTCGGTGGTGTTTGCGCGAGGCCTTCGTTTCTCCGTGCCATTGGGGAAGGGTGCACATGCGTGTAAATGCGGCGTGTCGCTAGTGATGGGCACGATTGGTGGTGATGGAGGGGTACCTATTATATAAAATCAATCAGTTCCCCCAAGCTCCGCCCAAGCTGACCTCTGGTGTGTGTAGTGTATAATTCAAGAAGATTATAAAATCTTTGATCGGTCCACAACAAACGCTGTTTAATTGGGTATGGCATTTAATTTCCCCAATCAGCTTACCGCTGCGGATCCAAAGTGTGTTTGCCTTGTGTGCACTGCTGCGTCCGCCTCGTGCTGCCGACCTTTGCCTTTATTTTGTCTCCCAGGGCATCGATGCAGGAGCGCCCTACCATGACACGGCGGGTCTTCTTGGATCTACAGTTCTTTGGATATACGGGTCCTTTATTGGAAAAGCCACCAAGATTGATGACTGGCGTGATGAAAGGCTTCCAGGGCTTCCACACACATGAGAACATGCATTCTTGCTGGGACTCCAACGCCCTACATGGCCACCAACTTCACCGCACCATACAACCCACTCAATGGTCCCGCCGTGCAGGCATCGCTGGACTTCCCACTTTCGATGTCTTTCCATGGCTTCTTGCCTATCACGGCACAGCCGATTACTCAGCCAGGAAATTGAGCCACGGAAAATATTGTGGCTTCATTCCCACACGAAGCGTGTCTATCTTATGCGGCTGGCCTGGAACTTCATGATGCTCATGAGCTGCAGTCTGCAAACTCTTCCAAGGCCATTCCGTTCAACAAGGGACTCTTGGCCAGTGGAGCCACCGCATCAGCTGCACCGCAGGTAGCCATTGAAGGCGGCCGCAATGCGCCAGAGGCAGGGCCTATCACTCGTGAGACGGCCGCCTCTGGTCGGCGGCATAGCCATACGAACAAGAGTGGCTGCAGACAGCTAGAAACGTGCCCCGCTCTATTCCGCCTCCACTCACCACCCTTCTCGCAGGAACCCGCACTATGGTCTGAATAGCGTCCTCCAGATCAAGCGGTGGGTGCAGGCACAGAAACCGTACTGCCGCGATAGCCTCTTCCAGGTTGTTCGCTAGCCTTGTTTGTCGGCACGGGCGATTGGCGTGCGGTGACGAGTATCACCGACTTTGACGCCCGACGCAAGACGCGAGGAGGTGGAGCGTGGCCACCTCAGCGGGCAGGCGTTGAGCGAAAGCATAGGTTTCAGAAACTTCCAAGCCGGGTCAAGCCTCGCTGGGCGATCGAGGCGGCGGAACAACTCCGCTTTACAGTCTTAGTTGTAAGTAAATTATATCTTTAGTTATGGAACTACAAGTTGACTTGTATTTCGATAACAGAACTTGTATTAGGATAAGTATGTAGAACTATAGTTATACTTAACGAACGTAACATAAAGTTATAACTAAGTTAGGATAGAACAAGTGAGATGTAAGTAAGTTATAACTAAACCGGGTGTAGTTAGGTGGAAGATTGACTTGGTTAGGTCTTAGTTACACGAAGTTATTTCTAGTTATTCGTAGTTACAATAATTATGTTTTATAGAAAAAAATTGTGCAGACTTTGGTTCAAGTGTCCCTGAAATATATAGGATTTGAGGCATGTCGACCGTTGCGGAGCCAATGGCAAAGATGCGAAGGCAGCAGCAGGACTACACGCGCTTCGATAGTTTCTTGTATCTGTACATACCTCCACATTCTGTATATCGATACATATAATATATATATAATGTTTTCGTATTCCTTTGTCGGCCCCGCGTCGGACAGCGTCGCATTTCGCCGTGTCGGCCCGCGTCGGCTGCATGTCGGCCCCACACACACGTATACATGACACACACACACACACACACACACCCCAGGGTTGTAATTCCATGAGTCGGCCCTTTGTCGGCCGGCTGTCGTCAACCAAACTCCTTTCTTCAATCCTTTTCATCGACTGGACCACCCGACTCGATGGCTGCCGGTGAGCTGGTGGCGACAGATTGATCAAAGTATCGACTGTATTCACTGAAGCGGAGGCGTGACCTGAGGCGTGTTATAGAGCATTCTGCTAAGATATCTGTGTTCGCACGCGAAAGAAGGGCGTCCTTTTTAAAAAGAATGTAGTTATATCTTAGTTATAACTACTAATGGAACTTATCAATACGACATAACTTAGTTATAACTTCAAGTTGTAACTAAGATATAACTGACTTCTTCTAGGGTAAGTTAGTTATAACTAATGAACAACTAAGACCGTATCTTGTAAGCGCGGCGGAGGTGCGCCGGGAGCGGGTTGACGTAGGGAAAGCGAACATCGCAATGTCAGTTGATATTCCACTAACAATGGCAAAAGCCACCGCGGAAAATGAACCAATGACAAAAGTCAAAAAGCCGGCGCAGTATTGGGGACAGCAGTCCAATTCAAATCCCAAAAAGAAGACCAGGACCACAGCAGTGAGGGCTGTCCCACCAGGAAGAGTTGCAGCAGCTTACTGAACAAATATGTACATATATGCATTTACATATATATGTACATATATATGTATATACCATGCCTCGTACTGGTCACTTGCAAAGACTGCTTCCGTAGTTTCAATACCCTTTTTGACGTTTTAACCTGGAAGAAAAAGAACATATATATATATATGTGTATAACATCCATGGTAGAAGTTGTTGGGATTCATGATGGAGGTCCTCCTGGTCAGAGCGCTTTACATACCTTACTCCTGGTTTTCTTCGGCATTCCTACGTGGGTGGGCGTGTGGCATGCGGCATTCAATTTCCGAACGAATTTTCCCGAGTGTGTCTCAGTGTCTTTCCTTCGGGAGCCCGGGGTGAGCCCGACGAGTGCCCTCCGTGGCCTTGCTGAGCAAGGGCTTGTCTTCATCCCCCTGCCCGCGAACACGGTGGCTGTCAGCGAGCGTGAGAGGCTGACGCCAAACGTTGATTAGGACCTGACGACCTGGTTAAAATTTTTGTGCAGGCTGAACGCAAGGAGCAGCCCCCCGGCCAGAGTAGGCTGAATGCCAGAAGTACTCCACAGCGGCCGCAGTTCTTTCGCGGTGTGGGGCCGTCCTATGTGCACATACAGCACGCACATACCAAACCAGGCTAGGTCTGCCTAGGTACCTTCATAGGTTTGGCTTCGTTGCTTTCCGGCCCTTCCATTTGGTTCCGCTCTCGTCCTTTGCCCTTCACACACACTCTGACATTGGTTTTCTGTTAACTCAATTCCCAGGCCGAGAAGGAAGGCGAAGGAACGGAAAGGGGCATGAGTCCGCAGAAAAGTATTGTTTAACCAAAGTTTCACAGTAAGCGCGAGTGGAAGCGGCTGCAAAACGGCGGGAAAGCCTGTTTGGGGGGAGGTAAAAAGAGCAAAATGGACAGCGTGTTCAACAGTTCCTAATTGCCGCAGGTACACACGGGTGATCAATCCGTGCTTCCCACTCCAAGGCATAGCTTCGTTGCACTGAGTTTGCCAAGGAGTGCTCAGTGCCCCTGCTTGAAGTAAAAATCGAAACCGGACGGTGGAAACCCTTCGGCACAGGGGTTGACACACACACACACACGTCGCCGTCATCGGCGCACGTGGATTTTTTCACAACAAGCGGTGGCAATCTTTTGCGTTGTGTCCCTTTAGGACGTATAGTCTCAACGTCGTGAAATAGTGGTGGTGAATATCTGATCGCAAGTCAACTGTACAAGCTTGAAAGTCAGAGTAAGCTGCCAACAAACGCATATGGTCATGCAAACAAATCTCGGTGCCCGTACAAGCCCGGCGGCTATGAAAGCAGTTGATCCAGTAGTGAAACGTGATCAGTTAAGAGAATCCAAGGATTGGTGGAAAGGGAAAAATCCGCTACACGATTTCCAGCATGGCTTCAGCGCCCCAGTGACGGGGATCACACCCAGCACCCAAGTGGGACGACTGAGCGGTTCACACTCTGACATTGGTTTTCTGTTAACTCAATTCCCAAGTCGAGAAGGAAGGCGAAGGAACGGAAAGGGGCATGAGTCCGCAGAAAAGTATTGTTTAACCAAAGTTTCACAGTAAGCGCAAGTGGAAGCGGCTGCAAAACGGCGGGAAAACCTGTTTGGGGGGAGGTAGCGTGAAGGACCATGGAAACAAAAAGAGCAAAATGGACAGCGTGTTCAACAGTTCCAAATTGTCGCAGGTACACACGGGTGATCAATCCGTGCTTCCCACTCCAAGGCATAGCTTCGTTGCACTGAGTTTGCCAAGGAGTGCTCAGTGCCCCTGCTTGAAGTAAAAATCAAAACCGGACGGTGGAAACCCTTCGGCACAGGGGTTGACACACACACACACACATTCTTTCCTTTTTCACTTCATGTCTTCTCCGCCTTCATGTCCCGTCATCTCACTCCGTTCTTGCTTTTGCGCACACATCGGTCCGGCCCTTTGCATCTACGCGCACACATCTACACTTAACCCAGGTTTCAGCACTTTTGTCTCGTCTCGTCCCCTTCTCACGTCTTCGTTTTTGCCCTTTTTGCACGCACGCTTCCACATTCACTAGTCTGCCCCTTAGCTTTTGGCCCCCCCCATGCCGGGTGTGTGTGTGTGCGAAACCCATTTGGTTTTGCAGGGGATCTCGCAATTTTCTCTTATCGGCGTCCGGACCTTAACAAACAAGCCTTGCCTCCCAGTGCAACCTCGTGAGCATAGCTGGTTGCCCAACGAAGAGGGCTATGCCACGACTGATGAAGAGTGTGATCAACTCCACGTACCTGCTTCCTTTTGAACTGTTGACCTAGCTGTGACTCCTCTCTCCTGTAAAGTGCTCATGAGTTGTGCAGATGTGAGCGCCCGTTTTTTCGCTTTCGAGTACTTTCGGGATCGGCTGTCAAAACGCTTTACATACCTTACTCCTGGTTTTCTTGTATGGAAATGCATGGGCTATAAATCGTAAGTGGGTTGGGTGCGTGCAAGGCCTTCCATACATGGATGGTTTTGAAAGTCGCTGCCTCAAGGGCATATTTTAGATTGTCCAGAATCGGATCAGATGAAAGTCATAAAATCCACTGGGAATCTCGGTAACCCATAGTATGTTTTGAAAACTTTGTACTTCAATATTCCAAAACCTATAGAATGATTCGATGGACTTGTAGTTCATTTGGTTACCTCTTTTCAGTAGATTGTGTTTTGTAGTGTCCATGGAGATGGACGAAGCCGCCACCGTCCGAGGTAGCTCTGCGGTCCGAGCCATCAGCAAGACCTTGGGGGAGCGAGGCGCGGAGGGCGGAGAGGGAGACCGAAGATCCGATCTTTGGGCAAAAGGACGTGTTGACCGCGGGAAACATGGAGACCCTGCATTGGGGGAATTGGACAGCCCAGTCACATGCAACAGGTGGACATGTTGCTTACAAAACGTTTTTTTTCCAGGGACATCCGGCTCACTAGGCCTAAGTGGACATGTTTTCTCAGCGGCGTCTTTCTTTCTTTCAAATGGACGTTTTGATTGGACGGACCGGCAGGATTGAATTCGGTTGTAGGCCTAAAAGAGCGCTAAGATCAGTTCCATGGGCGGCGGCGGCTCGTGGACTTTCGCTGCCCGGCCAGGCATCCCGTTGACCTCCAATCAGATTCAGCGCTTTGGCACCGAGACTGGTCTCAGTCCGACTGTTGGGACACCCAACCGTTGTTTCCTTTCGCATTTACTGGGGTATATGAAAGGGGCCTTGGCCATCATGCACAGTTCCCTTAAGGAAAACGAGAACAAAATGGGACACCCCATTCAAAAGCATCTCGTGTTTCTCTTCTTAATGGCTAATTGAATTCGTTTTTCGCAAAGTGTCATCGGTGGCGTCTACTTGCAGACCGGGATGGGATAACAACACCTTAGGATTCCAACCGCCAGTTTTTTAAGAGTCTTTATTGAACGACCATTGTTTTGGTGAGTTGACACTACCAGATCCACCATTCTTTCAATGGTCGAAGGCTATAAGGAACAGCATGGAACTGTTTGGCACACTCGTGGTTTCAGCCCGGTTCAGTGTCGGCCTCCGCCCTCTCGTGGTGTCGCCGGTTTGGCTCGGTACACTCGAACACATCACATGGTTACCGTGGATGGCATGGTCCCGAGTTAGGAAGGCGACTTTCCTTTACACCGGGTGTGCCATCCACGTAACCATGTGATGTGTTCGTCGGAGTGCATGTTTTTTTAAACCCCATGGGATGCACGACTGGCACCTGAGGTTCGGTGGGACTGGGCCGGGGTGCGCTCCAAAGATGGAGGAGGCACGTGGAGCCCTAGTAGGAATCATGTGCCTGTGGGTTGACCACCCAAAATGAAAAGAGATGGGACGACCTGCAGGAAGGTCCACCCAGAGGGTTTTCACACAGCCGTGTGACGCTTTGGGGCCGTATTCCGTCCTGGGCGAGATCTAGGGTCCTCCATTTGGACTCCAATCATTGGATGCGCGTTTGAATGGTTCAGGTGTGTGTGTGTGTGGATACTTATACTGCAAAAATGGATGAGAGAGATTGCTGTATTGGCCCCCAAAGCAATACAGGAGACGATCTTCGACTACTCTGGTTTCGGGTCCAATCATCATGACGTAGGGTGCGGGGAACGCAGGGACCAATCTCAGGGATTCATCCGGACCTTCAACAGGTTCACATCTATATCTCTCTCCCAGGACCTTCCAACAGGTGGTTTTAGAAGCCCAACAGGTGGTTTCTAGGCACCTGTTGTCACCAGGAAACACCTGTTGGAGGGTCCCACGGTCGATTCTTTTTATGTGGGTTTGCTCAACCAACTACATAGCGGTTTGTCGTTGAGGTACAGTCTCTTATACCGATATCCGGAGTTGCCTCTCGGCACAAACAGATGGGTGGTGCTTCGGAGTGCGTCGGAGAGGCGTTCCATTGGAGCGCAGAGGTCGGTGCACCGGAAACGGAAGATGGGGCCCATCATCCACTCACTTACTTATATAGGCCCTATGGAGCCTTGTGGCCAACTTGCTCCCAACTACCACCAAAACCTATACCTCTTCCCTGCTCGTTGGCTTGCCCAATAGGAATCAAATCCACTCGATTTGGAACCGTTGGCATTTTAAGTGTTTAAGATATCCCCGTTTAAAAAAAAGAACACATCCATAACATCTGGACCGACCTTGGGAATTTAACGGAGGATTTGAAGATGATTTCATGTTGTTCTCATGATTTCTCGTTCGCAGTCGTCGCCTTGCGTTGCCTTTTCAGCGAACTCCTTGCAGCACCAAGCGACTCCTGCGGCGCGTGGTTTCCCCATACACTCCCTGGTCCATCATCGGCCGGGCGGTTCGAACGTGCCCCGAGGACTCGGATGATCGTTTTTCACTGCTAGCGTATCCCATGAGTATTTCAGAGAGTGTAGTAGTGTAGTAGTGCAGATGCGGAAAAAAACAGGAACGAACTATGAGTGTAGTAGTGTAATGCTAGATAATTAGTCGTGTAGAGAGTGCTAAGCATGTGCTAGGGGACAACTTATGCGTTTTCTTGTTTTGGGAGATGTCTTCCCCTAGCAGCTGCGAATCACAGGAACGAACTCCTCCCTATCGAATGGTCTGTGAACTGGGCTCTGTACGTTTTCAGAAGTGGTTTCAAGGCACATAAGGTCTTTTGGTGCCTTTTGGGTCATTTTGCCATGTAAGTGGTACAGTAGATGGTCCGGACAACCTACTCTCTTTACACAAAGAACTCTTTGTAGGACGTCAATGCATCAAAAGGGTTTCTACCAACTTTTTCTTCAAAAAGCCACTTTGGCCAGTATCCCCCCAGTATCCCCTTGTTTTCAAGGGCCCGCCCTCCATCACGTCGGGCCGGATCACCGATCGGCGCAACTTCCGTGCGGTCGTTTCCGCGGAACGCGCGAGTGTTCACAGGAACGGAATGAAGGCCACGTGTGACGAGCTGGGTGTGAAGATCTTGGCTTACAGCCCTCTTGCACTGGGCGCCTTTCGTACGAAGAAGAACCCACGACGAAGGGGGCTGAAGACGGCATGGGGTTGAAGAAGGCATGGACACAAGGACGTCACCCCAATGATGTACCCCCAAGAAAGATCAAGTCCAGACACGAGCCATGGGACTGCCATAGGACTGCCGATCAAGCCAGACCCCCAGTCAACCACCCCAACTGATCGGCAGTCCTATAGTCCCAGACGGGTCGTGTCTGGGAAAGGACTGGAACATGTACATGGACCTTTGGTTGAATCGCTATTGATTCATGGTTCGCCACATTTGTTTCAGAACATATATGGATTGTTGTTTCACGCTAGTGTACCTATCACTACTCTCATATACCCTGACTTTGGCGACTTAGGTAAAACAGGTGCCACTTCGTGGTACTCGTCAGTCGTGAACACCCGAGCCACGACATGGATCATATGGACCATCATCCCCTTTGGGATCGGAGGGGCGATTTGGTCAACACCGGCGAGCCGGGGTCGGGAAGGAGGAAAGCAAGTGACTCAGTGGCTCTGAACGTGGCTCTTTTGTAGTGAAGTACCATGAAGTCAGACAAGTACCATGAAGTACCTGTTCTGGAGCCCTGGAGGCACCTGTACCACGAAGTACCCCCGAAATCTCGCGAACTGCACCTGCTGTGCAACGCTCCACGCCTGTTTCGCTCCGCTCATCCCCTGTTTCCTGGGGCTGCGGTTTTTTGGGCCCGGCCTGTACGCCTGTCGTGTCGCACCTGCGAAGCCCAAACCTGGGGAATCAGGTGATTGCGGAATCCCAAACTGGGGTGAAGCCCCTAACCTGCGGAATACTCTCATTGAAGTAAAATCAAAACCCAAATCCCGGCTTCCTCTCCTCATCAAAACCCGCCCCGCTTCGCCGACCGGAGTCGGCGGCAACGACGACCGTCCTCGTCCGTGGCGGCTGAGGCGCTTTGACGGGGAAGTGGAGCGACCAAGCGCCCAGTGGACCGCGTGGAGCCATCGCGGAGAAGCTCATGACGCTGGGCGCGGGTTGGCGCCAGCCTGCTGCGGAGGGGCGGCGGGCTGGTTGGGAGATAGGCAGAGAGCCTTCTTGAAGGCCCTATATAGCAGTTGTGGAAGAAATAGAATACACTCCCTGAATTAGACATGGAAGTAACATGAAGTAACCCTATTATTCCCGGGAGTGTAGAAATGGTTCAAGATGCCAGGTGTTCAAGATTTCTACCATCAACAGTTCTGCGACCCTCAACTATAGACATGACATAATAGAGTTGCTTCCAAGACGTTTCAACAAATACGACACGAACCCTGAAATAATCAATGGTAATGGAACGTTACTCCCCTGGAACACACGAAACACAACATGTTTTTCTCTACAAACAGGTGGTTTTCTTCCACTTCCACGTTCTGCTACTCAGGAGAGTAGCTTCTCCACGGCTAGGGACCGGGCTTCTCCGTACCTCGGTCACACCGAGCCAATGGTGGAATTCAAGGCTTGGTGGCATTCGAACTGGTCTATCATCGTGCGCTTGAAGGGCTGACCAAGGTCTACTCGATGCAGGTTTACTTTCTGCAGCCTCGGTCATCACCAATGTCTCCAGTCGTTCGCCGTTCGCCACTCGCTCGCCGCCTTTCGCCCCTCTCGGTGTCCTTTCTCCAAAGCGCCTCATGCTCCGAGGAAGGATGATCAATGGCAAGGACTGTTGGATGCAATGAGGCATGGCTTAGCAGGCAGACCGACACGGCACAGCGCCGGATCGTCGCAGTCGAAGTGATTCGCCGACTGGTACCACGACCTGAAAGAATGGTATGGAGTCGGAGTAAACACCCCACCGGCCATTTTGGGTATGAGGAACATGGTCATCCGAGTCCTCGGAGCCGTGTCCTTCTCCACGGAACCGCCCGGCCGATGAGGAACTTGGGAGTGTGATTCTTAGGGGGGTTCCTTTCCCTACTCAAGAGCATGAGCAGGTTTACATCGAGGCTGGACGGAACCACTCACTTCGGAACCAAAAGCTACCAGATATTCCGAACGGAAAACTAAGACCCTGAAAACCACGGCATACTGGTTTCTAGAGGAAAATCGTCTTCCAGTTTGGTCCATGCCATCAGGGCCCATGGGAGGTCCATCGCCCCAGTGTATTCGGAACGGAAAGCCATAGCCAAGAGCATGGCCGCTGAACGTGGAGCCCTCGCGGCAATCCCAACTGGTCGAAAGGAATTCTCGAGGAAAAGCCCAAGTACCGTGGGAAATGGCACTCTCACTTTCAGACACACCGACCTGCCCAATAACCCAGACACGACCTGTTTGGGACTGCCATAGGACTGCCGATCAATTGACCCCTCAAACCACCCCAACTGATCGGCATATATATGGCAGTCCCATGGAGTGTCTGGGTAAAGTATTGAGAAATCGAATCCTGATTCAGGCGTACAGTAAACTTGCGTTAAACTACTCAACCACAGATTACGAAAGCCAGCCTTCGTAGAAGGCGCTAGCGGAGTTGTGTTTGGCGAACGAAGTGAGTAGTTAGGGGGTCTGGGGGGGTGGCCCGAGAAAGGTATACGTCAACTCGGCACATGCTGGGGGAGGAGGGTGCTTCGAGGGAAGGTTTTTTGAGGTTGTGTTGGAGGTGATTTTTGAGGGGTGGTGATGCAAGAAATGCAAAATGCATCATTTGCATCATCTGAATGGAAAGGTGTAGTTGGCACCTTGCAAGGTATAGAGACCTAGGGTAGCCATAGTGCAGCTACCAGGTATAGTACTTCAAGTTGCCTTTCCGTCAACCGCTTGAGAACCTCTACACACGCACAGCAATCCACAGCTTTGAAGTCTCATTCGTGCTTTGAACTTGTATAGGTGTGTAAGAGGTATAGCAACATAGTATTTATACGGACCCAGGGTAGCTACAAGTAGCTACAGTTCTGTTCCCGGGTATGGCGCGCATGAGGCTTCAAAGCTGTGGTTTTCAAGCTAAATT